CTTTTAAATTAAGAAATAATGTATAATACTAAAATGTGAATTATAATCTACAGTTTGATACCAAACTTATTGCCACAATTTTATAAAATAGTAGTTCAATAAAATTTTGAATGCAAGTCAACAAATACAATAACATGGCCTTTGACCCATGTGGAAAGGGTTAATTGCATATTTAGCTTGTTAGATGTTTCATACTACATTTAATATATAATTTTTATGAAGAACAAATCAAGATTAAAGAAGTATAAGTTAATCCTAAATTATTGTACCTGAAGATGTTAAACAAAGAGTATTTTGAAAAAACTGAAAATAGAAAGATTAGACTAAAGTGAGCATAATCAATTATTCAACCTGGCAATTCATTGATAAGGAAATTCCACAAATTCCCCAGCTCTAATTGTAATTAGTTTCAATATCATAAATTAATCTTTATATTATCTTCACTCACAGTTGTACTTTCAAACCAATTTGCTATGATAACAATGACATTTAGAATGCTTTACATAATTATTGAACTTTCTGCAATATGAGGTTTCACATATATAGCAAACTTTCTCTCCTCTATTTGAGTTTAAACGTATCAAATCCTTAACTTATGTTGTGTAGAAGTTGTATTTTTTGAAAAACATGCATATCATTAAAAAATATATTGTCTTTGGCTAAACAGTGATGTAGCACTTGCAGATTAAGGTGTAATAAAAAAAAACAAGTAATAATGAAATTAAACATGTAGCTGAAACAATTTACTTAAGAAAGCAACTTCGTCAGAGGAGTATGTATGCACTGAAATAAACAATTCTAAAATGACATACACAACATTTATTTAAAATAAAAATGACAATTGCTTGTTTTATTATTTATAATGAGAATAGAAGTAAAAAATACATTATTTAGTGAAGTTTAATCAGTAAGAAGTGTGGTTCAGTACCAAAGAAATACTGATGAAATTTACTAATCAAGCAACTGTTGTAAAAAAAAGAATCCAAAGAAACAAGTTTCAAGAATACCTATATCCTTTATGAACTACACTAATCATCAGATAGCATATTAGAGTTTATCTAAGCAACTGTTTAAAACAATAATGATCAACAACAACAAAAATCAAAAACAAGCTCTCATTATTTAAAAATATAACTTCACCTACCAAAAAACAGAGAATCTCTGGAACTATCCATACTTTGGACCAAAAGATCTGTAAGTTGATCAACTTCACTCTCCTGACCTGTTGAGGAGCCTCTGCCAAGAGACTGCATGCCAGTAACAGAACCTGCCTTGTTCCTACCCAGAGCTGGATAGTAAGAAGAATACAGTGATGAACCTCCACTTCCCATGCTGTAGGTAGATCGTGAAGACATCTGACTTGGTGGCCGAGGAGTAATGGGTTCATAAATAGAATCTGTATCATAGTTACTCTGCAAGTTTTCAATCAAAGTTAGAAAATTTTAGCTAGACTACTAATGTTAAGATATTAGGACATACAAATATACTAAAATGCTTATCCTAAATATTCATATATCACTTGTAGTGAATACAAAAGAAGTACACAAATAAAGTTTACTGAATTGTTTGAATCAATTAATTTTTATTTTATAAGGCTGTTGGTATTAGATAGGGTTGAGTATTATATTTTATAGGTTTTTTTTTGGTTTTTTTTACGAATAGTTGCTCAAATCAATAGAAAAATATTTTCAAACTATACAGCTGTAGCCATGCAACATCTTTCTACAAGAACTACTAAAAATAATTTCATGAAAATGTGTGAGAAGGCACTAAACATCAAAGGATAGCAGCTGCATTACAAGCCAGAATGTCCCCTGTAACAGGTGCTTTGGTAGGTGGAATTGATGGAAGACCATTAGGTTCAATGGCAGGATTTAAGTTAGCTGGTGTTGCAGCTACCATAGGTGGAGATGTCTTAGGATTCACATGTGGAAAATTCATTCAACGTCATTCAGAAAAAACAAAAGACTTAGAATTAAGAGAGCTCTCCCAACGAGGTGTGAAAGGTCTGTGTTTCTACCATACTTAAATTCAGCAATTGACAGTGAGACAGCAAGTAATTCTGATAAAAGATGAAAAAGAAAAAAAACAAACCATTGCTTATTTTTATTTATTTGATATACACTTGTAAATACTGTATTTTTATCAGTTTCTTTTAGTATTTGTTGCAGAATGCATATAATGAACTGAAATTATTGTCAATATTTTATAGGTTTTCACACTGCGTATCTTATCTTCTCATATTCAGTTTTCTTTATCAAATTTACAAACACAAGTAAACAGAGTTTGTAATTTTCTATCTATTATCCAGTTATTTTCAATCCAATGTTTTGTTAATAACAGAGTAAAATACAAGCACAGCACACACATTTACTGTTACATGCATGATTCATTAAAGATAAACAAGTATTAAAAGTAGAAATTTAAAGAGATATATTTTTATGATTTCATGTTGTAGACAACATTTTGTGAATAATAACAATAAAAATCTTGAGTTCAATAGTCTTAAGACTTTCTTTATATTAGTCTTTCCAAAATGTATTATGCATACTAAAAAATACAAGAATAAGTTATTAGTTGACTGATCTCATTGGGATAAGATTTGATTGCTACTAATTGTACGGTAATAATTCTTGGTGGATAATAAATGAGAATATGGTAAACATGAAGTTGTGGTCATTTCAAACTAAAGGGCACTACATCTGATCTATGTAGCCACCATTCATGTATGCTTTTACAAAATTATTGAAAGAGAGGGGGTCATGCTTGTGAATAGAGTTGGTGGATTCACTTATTACCTATGAGCATCAATTAAATTGATTAATATCACAAAAATTACCAACTAATTGAAATTTTGCCACTAGGATTTCTTATTATTACTTTTTTTGAATAATTCAAATTTTTTCAGCTTTGGGATGGTATAGCCCAGCAATTAATGGGGTTGCCTCATTAAAGGATATTGGTGGGGGGATATATTTCTTTGTTTTTGAGATATGTCAAAGCTATAAAGACTATCTGCCACCATCTCCAACTCTGAACTGCCGACTAGAGGGAAAGCAACTGGTCGGCAGCACTCATCACCAACTCTTGGACTATTTTAGCACAGAGTTGTAGACTCAAGTCATGCAACTTGGACGAAATGATTTGACACTTACCCATAATGAGTTGTGACTCGATTTAAGTGACTTGTTGAAAACCCAAGTAAAATAAATACATCTTGAATTTTTCTGCCACAAACCTTGCCAAATGAATGTCACAGACACGTTACATGGTGTACATAAGCTCCAAAGTGCATGTGACTAGAATAGCAACAAATTATTGTATATGTATATGTGCAAGCAAACTTTAGAACCTCAGTGACTTGTGACTTAACTTGAGACTTGCCCATTATGACTTGTGAATCGATTTAAATGACTTGTTGACAATCCAAGTGAAAAAAAAACACATCTTGAATTTTCCTGCAACAAATCTTGCCAAACAGATGTCACAGACACACTACATGGTGTACATAAGCTCCAAAGTGCATGTGTCTAGGAAAGCAACAAATTACTGTACACGTACATCTATCAGCAAACTTTTATACAATCTTTTATACAGTCAGGGTCAGGAATGGTAGACGAACAAGGTCCTTGTCCAGAACTTGGCTACTTGCAATGCATGTGCCATCATATACAAGTTGTGAACAAGACGTTAAATTTCGTACTTCTTGGAGGGATGGTAAATAAATTAGAGAAGAGTAAATGCCTAAAGAAAAAATTTCACATATCTCACACTAGGGTAAATTCAGGATGTTTTTTAAATATTGCCTTATAAAATTAAGAACTTAAAACTTATATACTATTAAAATATGGATTATTAGCTATGATTTTATGCTATACTAACTGGTATAAAAGCAATGAAAAGCAGTTTAATTAAATTTTTAATGTAAATTTGATGATGAGGAATCCACTTCTTAAAAAATAAAAATTTAGAGACAGCATGACCAGGTAATGAAAAACATTATTATAAAGTATGAGGTTTCATCAAGATTATGCCATCCACAGGTACAAATAGTTTACAGAGACACATGTTTACAGTATGGAACAAAGAGTTTACATGACCAGAGATTGCTGCACAGCCTAGTATAGGTATCTTGGTACCCCGGGGTGTTGGTTTAAGGTGGGGCTGTTTAGTTCAATGAAGATAGCTTCCTTTATTCTGCATTTATTTATGGTTGGTTCTTTGTTTAAAATTACAATGTTTTGTATAGATATGCTGTGTTTTTTTGTAGTTGCAATGTTAGTAATTATGAGAGGGTTTTTTTATTATGTTAGGTAAATCTGGTTTCCAATTTTCTTCCAGTTTCTCCAATGTAGATTTCTGGACTGTTAATGCACGTTATTTTATAAATATTGGTATTGTGTGATTCTATATAATTTTTATTTAAAAATGATTTTACTTTTAGAGCCAGGTTTTTTGGTGAATTTGAAGTCAACAGGTTTTAGGTTTAATGGCAAGTTTTCTTGAAGTGTTGATTATTTTTTAACTGATGTCAGGGATAAATGGTAAACTGCAGTGTTGTTGGTGTGAATGAAAATGCAGAGATGAATAAATCAACTCTTCTGTTTGGTCAACAAGAACAACCTATACAGGCTGTTTTGTGTGTCTATAATAGTGCTTGCTGTTCCTGCATCTAGTTCTCCAATTGAACGAATGTTCAGCCATGGAGGAATTATTGTGCATCTCATAGAGCTAAGCTTAGTGACAAAATGCTGATATTTCTTGTGAAACAGTTTGTACAGATAAATTATATGCTCTGATTGCCTTCTTCTAGTCAGTGACATCACACACTTTGATGTAGATATTAAGCAAGTGCAAGTGTAACAAACTGTCTTTGAACTTGTATGTGCAATCAACATCACTAAGGGTAAATGCACAGGATTAAGCATGCAGTAAAGTGAATAACGTGCTGACATCACTATCTAGAGGAATCCAAATACAGTATACAGATGTGTGCAAGTAGTGTTCATGGTGCAATAAGAAAGTCCAAAAAATGTGAAAAGATGGAGACTGCTCTGCTTCTGATGCTTAACTAGTTTGAACTGTTGAAGATTTTACATTTTATTGAAAAATCTTAAAACATACAAATGCATATACTCACTAAAATAAAGCTTAGTCTATCACCAGTCTCATACATGTAAATCACTAGCTCAACTAAAGTGTACACAAGGTACAAGTACACTGCTTGGAGACCTTGTAGTGTAGCTGGTCCAAAATAAAAGATAGCTCATACTTCCTTTACCAACCTGTGTGACTCAATTGGATTTCCACCATCATGGATTGTTGCATATGAGGCACAAATACTGTACCATCAGTTTGTCTTAGCACAACATCAGATTCAAATAACATCCAGCTTATTTAATTCACATATATTAGAATAGATCCCCTCCAAACAAACTATTACTGAGCCTGTGTAGAGACAAACTGGCCTCCATAACCAACTAACAAAAATGCACAGTACACTTTCTCCCTTATAGATAATTTGGCTAGTTCACAATACATTTTATCATTATGACTTGACTTGAGACTTGGCCTTAATGACTTGTGACTTGACTTGGACTTACACACACACACACACAAAATACTTGTTACCAACTCTGCTTTAGTATTAAATAAATTGTAAATTTACTGTTTTTTGCATTCTGTTTCCAATTTATTATTGTATAACTATAATGTTGAATAAAATGTAAAATTACTGTTTCTAAACTTGTGTTATATTGTAATTTAATTTATAGCTTATGTAACTGCAATCTTTAGTGATGCATATTTGTAAACCCATTTTAGAGTCTACCTGTACTTATAAGCAGGAAAAACCCATAATGTTTTTAAACTATGCATAGAACTGCATGACTACTAATTTTTTTGGTGTATAATTGCTAACATATGAAAAACCCTTCAATATCAATAAAATTTAAAACAAACAAAAAAGTAAACTGATTAATATAGCACCATTTTTTTAAATGTTTCTTCGCATGGTTTATGCCTGATACTGTAACATCATGCTTGCATATTGTGCATCTAGCATAGTTTTCTCCCAGACTGGGCTTGGAAATCACCTACAAAACGTTTTGGCCCACAAGCATTTATATATTCCTAGGACTTTCACCTTTTTGCCTGGAGCTGCCATTTTGGAAGAAGGAAGTTGTGATGTTTATACAATTACTCATGTGCAATAATATTGTAGTTATCACTTGGAAAGAATTGAAAAGGACTGCAAATAATGATAAAAAAAATACTTCATTTCACACACACACACACACACTCAGGCATGACACTGAATTTGCAGTAAATAATAATATGGCTGAAGGTTTTCTAAACTAATAAAAATTATATTCACTACAACCAAGCTGTAGTATTTGACAGATATGGTATTAAATAAATTGTAAACATACTTGTTATACACTGTGTACACGTTTTATAATGTTTGTAACACTGCACTCTTTTCTCACTGTCCTGAATCTGTGCATACTAGTGAAGGTTGTGACAGGCACTGGCATTCTCAAACCCAAAACTCTTTGATCATGGAGCAAATGATTGTGAAGCAGTGTCCTTTATCCACTTAATCATGTAAGCCTTTTAATCATGTGATAAATTACAAATGTAAATCTACTAATTACTTTCCAATAAATAATAACAAAATCAGTAAATTAATAATAGCACCAAATTTGCAAGTATCAATCATTTTAATAAGATAACAAAACAAATTTTCTTTTGCATTGTACTGTATATCTCATATAATACAAAAAAACATACTCTGTGATCAATTATCTATAAATAGGCTGCAATTGCAATGTAGTATTCAGAAAGCCTTGAGAAAAAAAAATTGTGTTTTCAGTAACTCGACCAATCCTGATCCTAAAAGTTTTACACCTTTCCTTCCAAAAATGTTCAAAGAATGTAACTGTATTTGTAGTAGTCAGCAATATATATTTTACCCATTATTCAGTAAGCAAGTTTCATAATGTACCCATTCATAAAACATAAATTTGATCAGACCTTGAAGTTATGTCTTGCAAAAAGTCAACATCATAGTAACTGTAATAAGTTTATACTACGATATAGCAAAGGCAAGTTGTTTTTATTCTATCATTATTATGGTAATTTTCACTAATAAGCCTTAGTGGATAATTTATATGTTGCTTTCCAGTATTTGCACATTAATTTCACATTTTTGTTTTCCCAAGACACAGAATTGGAAACTTTTTTTTTATAATATTGCTTGTTTAAGTTTATTGAATGTCACTATATACGTGTCCTTTTTGAGTCATAGTTCCTAAAAGTATCAACCTTTAACAACACTAACAACTGTTTAACATAAGTTGAAACATGCAATGATCTATATACTACTAATCCATGTGTACTAGCGCCGAGCTAATTATGTCTGTCAGCATCTTCCACTTGATGCCATTGCTAAGTAATGAGCTTCCTCATTCAGAGATAATAGCTTAGCATGCAGGCCTCTTGTACCCATTCTTTTCCAGAGTTTTTTTTTTTTGCTCATTTCAAAATTCTTGCAAACGGACAAATATTGTATTTGTAAGCAGGCAAATCTGCTCTGTGGAAAAGCTCCACTGTTTTACTTGTAAAACAAATTTTGAAAACACACAGAGTTGGTGTAATACCCAGAAATAATAAACAGTTTCTGGAAAGTTTGAAAAATTGTGGGTTATCTTTAGGATATTAATATATTAAATGTTAACAATCATATATACAATTAAAAAAAAATTATTTTTTCACTACAACTTGTATAGTTAAGAAGTTCAACAATGCTAACATATTACTTAAAAGAAAAATTAACATAGCTAGTTTTGGCCATAAGCCTATATTAGGTGTCAGTAAATTACAAACATCTTTTATTGTTAGAAAAAAATTATTTTTTAAATACGAGAATACGAGATCCATCCAACAATTCTGATATTCATAGAATAGAGTTTTCTACATGAAGTACTTATTTCATACATTTTTCAAATCTATAAGTATATATAGATATGTACTAATCATCAAGTGTGATTAGTATAGCCAAAATTAGTCCTGTTTTGCAATAATTTGTTTTTGTTTAGGATAATAAAGCTAACTATCTTTATTTATACAATTGTTGATGAATGTTATGAATTATTGGTTATTTTCATTAACAAAAAATCAGTAGTTTTATTAGTATTCTGGAAATTTGTATTGAAAAACCCACAGAATGCTATTAATTATATTTTCAGCTTGTTATAGGTTTTGTACTACATTGCATATGTGATACATTTTCATGTACAACAGTTTAAAATTTAAAAAAATAACTTGTATCCTAAATCATTATACCTGAAGATGTTTATCATATTAATTGAAGGGTCTAGCAAATTCCAATAATTATCCAGCTTTACTTGTGAAAATGGCAAAAATTGTGAGCCATTGTTTTACCTAATATGGCAGTCAAAACATTTCAGCTACTTATACTGAGAATAATAACCTACTTGTTTGTGAAATATATTCAACACCACATGAAAAGCAGAAAACTTGTATGTTACACTGAAACATCTACTAACCCAGTATTTTCACAAAATTATGAATGATTGTATATTTTAAAATATTATTTTGCATCTTTTTAATTAGATTACTTTTGTTTAAATAATCTAACAATCAAGATTATAATTTTGAAGTACTTTAGATATAATTCAGGACTTGGATGTCATAAATTTAATATCAGAATGCATTTCACATTTGTTTTACAATTCTGTATTACTCAATTATCAATAGGCCTTCTGTGACTTACCGCTGATGACTGGGGTCGACAGGCTGAATATATTGACTGAGAGCCATAGTTTGACATTGAAGGTGAGTGAGGAGGAGAACCACCAGGATAGGAAGAAATGGCAGCTTTGCTTGCAGGACAAAATGTTTGGTCCTTTGTTCCTTTATTAGTTACATTTACATTCATATACTCTGGTTCTACAAATCAAACAGATAATTCCCAATCAGCATGAGCTCTCATGCAAAAACATTTATACCTTTCAGTTATAATTTATTTCATTGTATGGAAAGTAAAAATCAACATTAAAAAACATTGTTTTATAAGTCAATTATCTATAAACTGATGTCACAACATACCACACAACTTAATTTCTAGATCTCTACTAAAACTAGTAAAATGTTTTCTTTCAAGAAGTACAAAGATTGAGTATGTTATATTAAAATGATTTTGGAGACTCATCACATCATTAGTCAATGTCATCACATTCATTTACACTTTATCTGCATCTTTTAAAATATCTGTGCAGCATAGTTTGCAATGCAAAAGGCTCAATTATGTTCAAAGCACACCCCTCATCCCTACAGCTTTCCATAATATATCTAGTGTATGAGGACATTGATTTCCCAGTGCCTGTTTTAACAGTCTACTTGCAGAAAAATACATGGGCAACTTAATTGGTATGTCTTTGAATGGAATAACATGAATATTCATTTCAATAACCAGCAGCTTGAGGTTTGTGATGGTTGATTTGATATGTCATGGATGCAGCTTGTGTATACATTGTACACAACTTGTAATGCTTTCCCAGATAGATCCTTCTTGATTATGTTGTATACTGTTTGCCAGACACACATGGTTGACTTTTGTCAAGGACATTTTGTGTTTGTGGATTCTCACTTGTTACAAGACATTAATTTGCTTACCATAGTTGGGGTGACTTTTTGCAGGTCTTTTTCTGGTTGATCCTGTACCTCAGGTTGATCCATATTCCTTTGTTTTCCAATGCCATTAAGTACAAGCGATATCCCTGTTGAAAATTCTAAATACCTGATCTGAACACATCTTTATGATGTGAGTGTATGATTATTTTGCATCAAAAAGTGGTTACATACCTTTCCCAAAAATAATCTATCTATGGTGACATCATACTACATATTAAACACCAAATAATGTTTAAATGTAGTTCTGTTACATGCCATTCTACCATGGTTGTCACGGCTTGCCGATTTGCAAGAAGAAAAAATCTTCTATTTGATGGGCAGGAAATACTTTATAAAGTAGAGTGGATCTTATGCTAACTTTCTCAGAAAGCATGCGATAAAAGTAGTTTTAATTTTCGCTACTTCAATTACATGTTACAGTTAATTCATTTAACAATATGCTGTATAAAAGAATAAAAAGTATTTCAGCAATACTACATGTTACAAAAAATTCTCTACTATATTTAACAAAATCAATTTAGTTTATGAAAATATTTGATAAATTTACAGAATATTCATTCCATACAGGCTCTAAGAATTAACATGCAGAATGAGTTCTTTTTATGGAAAAGCTTTAATTGAGAAATGCATTAGAATACTAGCTCAAAAACCCGGTCTTGTAAATAAAAAGCATAATGTTTGTTTTCTGACCATTTACTGATTCTGCTCCATTATAAGACTGATTAGACTTGTCTCCATCCACTTTGGTGCAACTTAATGTAGATGCAGAAATGTTTGGTATATTTGAGTACACTGGTGAAACTGTAGGAAGGGGAGTTGGTCTTCCAAATTCTATTTCCTTTAAACCTGATTGATTATTTGACTTTTCTTGAATATTCACATACACATTTTCTGGAAGTTTTTTCACTGGCTTGGGTGGAACTGCAGGTGCAATTTTCTTCTCCTGAGATGGTGGATAGTTGCCTCGATTGCAAGAAGTCAAATTAAGCTGAGTCAATTCATCCTCCAGTGAATATAGAGGATCAGCCATCATTAATGATAACCTTAAAAGTAGAAGATAAAGTAGATCAGTGAAAATGTTTTCATTTACCAGAATAACTTAGTTATAAAAAAAACGTTTCATTTTGGCACCCATCAATTATACAATGCCCACATAATGAGTAATCTTATAATTGTTGTTTTTTAATAAATACTTGTGTACAAGTAATAAATAAGTTTTCAAAATGTTAAATTTAATATAAGTGGTACAATGAGTTTCACAGTTTTTGTGTGATTTAAAAACATGTATGTTATAGTTTTATGGAACACTTGTTAGCACTGCAATCTACATCAACATTTTCATTATTAATGACATGTATAAAATTTTAAATCAAAAGGCATAAATAATTTTATTCTGAGAGACCTGGAAGTTATACAGGTTAGTACTACTGTAACAATATTACAAATAAAAATGTGAAGACACTATAATAATGACAGTGATTACCCTACCTGTGCTCAAAATTTGACTGTAAAAGTTTTGTAAACAATACAATTTAACATCTAAACAAGTATTGCTGTCATAATGTTTTAGTGATTGACAGATGAAAAGCTGTAGATAACCATACTGTTAATGGCGGTATTAATTGTTTAGTTTAAAATTCCACTGGATAACCATAAAAAATATACTACTTTGTTACAGATCTAAAACAATAGGGTTTCTTGCATAGTATCCAGTATTAATGCTACCATCAAACCATTAACAAAGGTTGGAACACTCTTCTTTACCAAGTTTAAAATATCTAAACAGAAATTACATCTTGAAATGCAATTGAAAAAAATGAACACAGAATTAGCAATTTAAAATGTCCTGTAATAAACAAGATCAAATATTTGAAGTCTAGTAATCCTGGCATAAATCAAGTTATACATGGCCCCCCTATCAAAATAATTGTAGCTCTGATTTTTCTAACAGTATTAAGTGCCTCTGATTAAAATTAATTTTACTTTACAACATTTCAAGTTATCTTAACAAAAAAAATTGAGGTTACACAACTAGCATAACACACTTTATAGAAATAGCAAAGAGTAACAAAAACCAATAATCATACAGGCTTTGGCTTCAAATACAATATTTGACAGCTACAAACTGCTGGTTGTAATGTATTTAATCAACAAAATAACCAACCAGCAAGATTCTCACTTCTAACACAACAGACTATGAAAATTACATTTAAATTGAGCTTAAATATAAATCATAATTAACCTCTTAAGTAAAACCAACTTAAGGTACAAACACCACTATTAGGCTATTAATATATAAAATAACATGTGAGAAATAATGACCATTTGGTCCATAAAGACTTCCCTGCATACCCATCCTTGAGGAAAAGAAAAATTTAAACCCTTTTCCAAATAATTTTCATAAATGGACAGTTGCTGTTTATAGAAGAAAGCAGCAACAATGTTTCAACACACTACAATGAATCTTTGTTATGCCCTGTGACTGTTTTAGTATTATATATAAAACATGGAAACTCTGACTGAAATGGTACCCCACAATGTATGCTTGTCCCTAACTAGTTCCTTAATCCTAGAGCATGATTGGTTTAAAGGTTCCAGAATGCTGTTAAGAAAACTAAAACTACCTTAAATGGATAATAGCTAACTTTTCCAATGTTAAATTTGTGACATCTCATTCTTCAAAAACAGCACACAGAAATCAGAAGCCTTTATCCTATTCATTCTTCAGATATATTTTGTAAACTTCAGTGTGATCACCTCTTACCATTTTTTTCTCAAGAGAAAATAAGAAGCCTTAATCTATCCCAATCGGATAACCCTTACAAGTACTGTAGTATCTCCTTATCTGCAATACAGCTAGAAATATCCAAAAGCTTGGTGTCATCACCAAACTACTAATTATGTCCCTCTCTTTATCATTAATGTAAAGAATAATAATAATAAAAAACAAGGGTCCAAAAACTGATCCCTAAGGCAAGAGAACAATACAACTGGGCTTCATTAATAACAACTTTTTGCCTTCTCTCATATAAACATCCTACAATTAAATAAGTTAAGCTTTTTTCCTAACCCTTACCAATGTGATTTTCTTGATAATCTTTCATGCAAAACTTTATCAAAACATTTTGAAAATCTAAAAATGCCTTTACATCATCTAGGAAGCATGTAAAAGCCTCAAAGATAATTAACAAATTAGTAAGGCAAGATTTTTCTTTAAATTTAATTTAAAGTTTAATGAATCCACATTGACTTGCTATTTTCAATTTCCTATTCAGAAGATATCTTCATTAATATCTATATATAATCAAAATTAGTTATACAAGTTTTAAATATTCAATTCACAATACTTACAAGGAAATTTTGTGTTATTTTATATTTGGAAGATGGAAATCATTAATACCACCACCACAATAACAAATGTACATAATGCTCATCTCTAATTTCAATGTTTTCATGTTGCCTTAATGACCAATGTCAATGCAAGAGAAACTGTGCATGATTTACTTGCACTTCTTAAACTACAATATTATCCTTAATGGAAAAATATACTCCAGTAATACAAATTTAAAACTGCTTTATTATATAGTTTATAATTTTGACTCATTTAACATTTAATTAGCATAAAATTCATGACTGGTGTCATTTTCCTTTAGATCCATCGTCTACACTGACAATAGGCATTAAAACCAAAGCAATAAAACCTCCAGATCATATCAAAGTATCTTACATTTGTGTCTATTTTTAAAGTATTTAGAAAGATAATCGGTCGTTTTCCTTCCTTCCTAGTGTAGCTTAACACAAATATTACTCTTATAAGCCTTTTTTTAAGTGTATGATCTACCTTATAAAACAAGTTTTTAAATGTTTCTTTTCGCAGATTTCTTCTAAAACGTAATTTAAAATAGGTACATGCAAATTAGTTTTCCTCAACAATAACAAAAAAATGCAATTAGAGTAGATATATATTCAACGTGTGCCTATGGACTGACTTGGTATTTCTAAATTGAAGTTAAGAAATCGTCATAAAAAATTAAAACTAAATTGATAATATAAAGTATCAAGTTAATTTTTTTATAACTTATTCAATAAGAGTGGATTAAATTACTAGTAAGCAAGAAAATGTTTATTTTCCACGAAAACATGAGCAAAACGATAGTTTATAACCTCAAGCAGTCAAGGTCACCATGCTTGGTTTTCAAAACTTCACGCCCATTCAAATTTCAGTGTAATGATCGATTCATTTAATTTTAATACTGAGCGTGAATTTTGTGCTGATCAATATTACTAATAATTTAACAATAAAGTAACTTTATGTTTAAATTTTATTACGTTTTAGTTAATTAATATTAATTATGTATTAACTAACTGTACTACTACTAGTAATACTACAGAAGACTAACTTAACGAAGTTTACAGTAGTAAAATTTTTACTATAAATTAAATAAAATCAAAAGTGATATTCTAATTCTAATAAATTGAAAGAAAACTATTTTCTAGCTTCGCCGTTACAAACTTTAAAAATCAATAAATTACATATTTTAATGAGCAAAAACCTGGTATAAAACGAGTATTTTATTTGGATATTATAAATTTTATGATAATATTGGCAAACATACGTGTTAACTACCTCTTGTCAATTCAGTGTACTTACTACAATAGATCTCTCTCACTTGACAATAAAATACTTTGCTCAACTACAACACCGATCTCTGACATTAGCGCTACCTATTGAACAAAATGAAATTTATACTTTTTTCCTTGACAAAGTTAAAAAAAACACATACATACTTTTACGGCAAACGGTTAAAATCAAGTATTTAATAAGTATTTAAGTATTTTTGTCCCCCAGTGGCACAGCGGTATGCCTGCAAACTTACAAGTCTATAAACCGGTTTTCCATACCCATGGTGGGCAGAGCACAGATATCCCATTGTGTATCTTTGTGCTTAATTACAAACAAGCAAATGTTTTGTTTTATTAATATTACGTTACGATCATAACAAGCTAGCTACATAGATAAAAGCTACAAATCAACCCGGTAGTGAGTATTTCTAGCATTGGGTCTTAGTTGTATTGATAATAATTCTAAATTTATTTACAAATGGTGATTTTGTGTAAAATATTTTGTAGTTTAGTGACAGTTAATGGTGGGTCCCTGGAAGGGCTCCACGCCGCGACATCATGGGGATATTGTGATGCGTGTGGGAAAGATGCAACAGGTTAAAGTAAGTCGTTGACGAATAGTGTTTAAAGAGAACAGAACCTTGAGGTACAACAGCGTTAAAGGTAAAGGGTCGTGAGATGGTGTTTTTAATTTTTATTTTTGCAGTTCTGTCTTCTAAAAAGTTCGAGATCCATTTAGTGAAAATAATGGGTATTTTATACTTGGTAAGTTTATATTGTTGCGTCAGC